AGCTACTGGCGGCAGTTCAAGATGGCTGACAGCAGAAGTTACTAGCTACTGGGGGCAGTTCAAGATGGCTGACAGCAGAAGTTACTAGCTACTGGGGGCAGTTCAAGATGGCTGACAGCAGAAGTTACTAGCTACTGGGGGCAGTTCAAGATGGCTGACAGCAGAAGTTACTAGCTACTGGGGGCAGTTCAAGATGGCTGACAGCAGAAGTTACTAGCTACTGGGGGCAGTTCAAGATGGCTGACAGCAGAAGTTACTAGCTACTGGGAGAAGTTGAGGGAAACTTAAAGAGGATTGGAAACTTCGATGCCGGCTTTGCTCAATTATTGTCAAACCTAAACGCCTATTAAAGACTGATTTTGCACCGTTGTGATAAACACTAAATACTGTGGAAAAACAAAACGTATGTGTGTGTGGGGGGGGGGGGGGGCGACACAAAATTGTGTGGAAGAACCCAATACGGTCTAGAGCACTGCCCTAATTATACAAGGTCGAAATGTAAGATGTGCCGGCTTAATTAAAACAAACAACTAAAGCGAATCAATTTATCAATTTCAATTAAAATATTGTAAATAATTAATTAATTCTCTGATCAAGCATAAATAAGAGCTACTCGTCCCGTGAAGAAAAAAAAATGTAAACAATTATTCTATAGATATCATGATCATCATGCCAGCTTAGAATTGATAAAATTTCCGGAAATTGTTCAACTGTCAGTTATCCTCTTCTGTTTACTGAATTAATACAGAACATGTATCCACATACAGAACATACAGAACATGTATCCACATACAGAACATGTATCCACATACAGAACATGTATCCACATACAGAACATGTATCCACATACAGAACATGTATCCACATACAGAACATGTATCCACATACAGAACATGTATCCACATACAGAACATACAGAACATGTATCCACATACAGAACATGTATCCACATACAGAACATGTATCCACATACAGAACATGTATCCACATACAGAACATGTATCCACATACAGAACATGTATCCACACACAGAACATGTATCCACATACAGAACATGTATCCACATACAGAACATGTATCCACATACAGAACATGTATCCACATACAGAACATGTATCCACATACAGAACATGTATCCACATACAGAACATACAGAACATGTATCCACATACAGAACATGTATCCACATACAGAACATGTATCCACATACAGAACATGTATCCACATACAGAACATGTATCCACATACAGAACATGTATCCACATACAGAACATGTATCCACATACAGAACATGTATCCACATACAGAACATGTATCCACATACAGAACATGTATCCACATACAGAACATGTATCCACATAAAGAACATGTATCCACATACAGAACATGTATCCACATACAGAACATGTATCCACATACAGAACATGTATCCACATACAGAACATGCATCCACATACAGAACATGTATCCACATACAGAACATGTATCCACATACAGAACATGTATCCACATACAGAACATACAGAACATGTATCCACATACAGAACATGTATCCACATACAGAACATGTATCCACATACAGAACATACAGAACATGTATCCACATACAGAACATATATCCACATACAGAACATGTATCCACATACAGAACATATATCCACATACAGAACATGTATCCACATACAGAACATGTATCCACATACAGAACATGTATCCACATACAGAACATGTATCCACATACAGAACATGTATCCACTGATTTGATTGGACGCTACGGCACGTGCGACCCAGTTCAAGACTTACATGCGGCCAGATGACTTGATGACTTGACTGCAGTCAGCTCTAGACAGCGAGGTGAACCAAAACATTTTCTTTTGTTCGATCTTTTTTGGATCTTTACTTTTAAAGTTCTTTTTGGATCTTTACTTTTAAAGTTCTTTTTGGATCTTTACTTTTAAAGTTCTTTTTGGATCTTTACTTTTAAAGTTCTTTTTGGATCTTTACTTTTAAAGTTCTTTTTGGATCTTTACTTTTAAAGTTCTTTTTGGATCTTTACTTTTAAAGTTCTTTTTGGATCTTTACTTTTAAAGTTCTTTTTGGATCTTTACTTTTAAAGTTCTTTTTGGATCTTTACTTTTAAAGTTCTTTTTGGATCTTTACTTTTAAAGTTCTTTTTGGATCTTTACTTTTAAAGTTCTTTTTGGATCTTTACTTTTAAAGTTCTTTTTGGATCTTTTCTTTTAAGTTCTTTTTGGATCTTTGCTTTTAAAGTTCTTTTTGGATCTTTTCTTTTAAAGTTCTTTTTGGATCTTTACTTTTAAAGTTCTTTTTGGATCTTTACTTTTAAAGTTCTTTTTGAATCTTTACTTTTAAAGTTCTTTTTGGATCTTTTCTTTTAAGTTCTTTTTGGATCTTTGCTTTTAAAGTTCTTTTCGGATCTTTTCTTTTAAAGTTCTTTTTGGATCTTTACTTTTAAAGTTCTTTTTGGATCTTTACTTTTAAAGTACTTTTTGGATCTTTGCTTTTAAAGTTATTTTTGGATCTTTGCTTTTAAAGTTATTTTTGGATCTTTACTTTTAAAGTTATTTTTGGATCTTTGCTTTTAAAGTTATTTTTGGATCTTTGCTTTTAAAGTGTTATTTTTGGATCTTTGCTTTTAAAGTTATTTTTGGATCTTTACTTTTAAAGCTTAATTTTGTGAGAACGGTATAAAAATATTTTTAAAATGTTACAAAAACAGTAGAAATTACCCAACGGTTAGACACGTTCCTGATCACATGCAAGGTTTAGATGCTAGCACATTATATTGTGACGTCAACAAAGTGGGTAAAGTACTGAGTCCCCCCTGGGTCCCTGGTCACAAGTTGAGTCCCCTAAATCCTGTGGGTTGATGACCCCGGTCTCTGAGTCCCCTACTTAGGATGTAGTGAAGGCAGAGGAACTCTAGTCATTGTCTGTTTTTTAGCGAAAAGTCACAGTCAACTCTTGACTTGTCCATATTGTAGCGATAAGTCAACAGTCAACTCTTGACTTGTCCATATTGTAGCGATAAGTCAACAGTCAACTCTAGTCATTGTCCGTATGGTAGCGTCAACAATCAGTTCTTGACTTGGCTGTATTGCAACAAATGAAACTTTGACTCACATGCACTTCGATGACCTTTGACCCCGGAAAATCTTGACCTCGATGAACCGTATATTTGACATAAATAGCCTCCTTTTTTTCCATCTATCCACATCTTTGTCGTTATGTCTACAAAATGTTTCAAATATTTTAATAGCCCCTCCCCCCTCCCCTCCCCATCTCTCGCCACTTTTTAATTAGCCTTACCGGCACGACATGGGCATCCAACGTGACGCCCTTCGAGTTTCGCGTGAAAAGCGGAGAAAGACGCCGACAGGAAACACGTAAAAAATATCAAAATAAAAACTTTCTCAAGATGTTGAAAAATGTTGATAGCTGTTGAAAGATTCTGAAGATGTTTGCGGCTATTTACCGGACTGTGCCGGGTTTTATCCGGCAAAAATGTGACCACTCCCTGTGACGTGACCCGAGCAGCAAGTTTTGTCGTTAAAAACTTGTCACATTTTAATTGCGTTGGACAAGCAAGCTTAAACACGGCTCTACATGGTTTAACAATTAATTTAAGGGTGTGGGCGGGGCGGGCAGGCTTTAATTAAAGCTTGGGCCGGCAGGTTTTAATTCAAACCTGTTTAAAAACTACACGTGAGGTTGGGGGTCAACCTATCAGATGGAGGTTCACTGCAACAACCTGTAGGTTTTTACCTGGTCTTCGTAAAGCTACGTGTCAAACCTTTACCCACATTTAACCCAGTACAGCATCAAAGTGCTACAGTTAACCCAGAACCAAAGTGCTACAGTTAACTCAGCATCAAAGTGCTACAGTTAACCCATAACCAAAGTGCTACAGTTAACTCAGCATCAAAGTGCTACAGTTAACCCAGCACCAAAGTGCTACAGTTAACCCAGCACCAAAGTGCTACAGTTAACCCAGCACCAAAGTGCTACAGTTAACCCAGCACCAAAGTGCTACAGTTAACCTAGCACCAAAGTGCTACAGTTAACCCAGCACCGGTGCTACAGTTAACCCAGCACCAAAGTGCTACAGTTAACCCAGCACCAAATTGCTACAGTTAACCCAGCACCAAAGTGCTACAGTTAACCCAGCACCAAAGTGCCACAGTTAACCCAGCACCAAAGTGCTACAGTTAACCCAGCACCAAAGTGCTACAGTTAACCCAGCACCAAAGTGCTACAGTTAACCCATCACCAAAGAGCTACAGTTAACCTAGAACCAGTGCTACAGTTAACCCAGCACCAAAGTACTACAGTTAACCCAGCACCAAAGTGCTACAGTTAACCCAGCACCAAAGTGCTACAGTTAACCCAGCACCAAAGTGCTACAGTTAACCCAGCACCAGTGCTACAGTTAACCCAGCACCCAATTGCTACAATTAACACAGCATCAAAGTGTTACAGTTAACCCAGCACCAAATTACTACAGTTAACCCAGCACCAGTAATACAGTTAACCCAGCATCAAAGTGCTACAGTTAACCCAGCATCAAAGTGCTACAGTTAACCCAGTATCAAAGTGCTACAGTTAACCCAGCACCAAAGTGCTACGGTTAACCCAACACCAAGTGCTACAGTTAACCCAGCACCAAACCCAGCACCAAAGTGCTACAGTTAACCCAGTATCAAAGTGCTACAGTAAACCCAGCACAAGTGCTACAGTTAACCCAGCACCAAAGTGCTACAGTTAACCCAGCACCAGTGCTACAGTTAACCCAGCACCAAAGTGCTACAGTTAACCCAGTATCAAAGTGCTACAGTAAACCCAGCACAAGTGCTACAGTTAACCCAGCACCAAAGTGCTACAGTAAACCCAGCACAAGTGCTACAGTTAACCCAGCACCAAAGTGCTACAGTTAAACCAGCACCAAAGTGCTACAGTTAAACCTGGAGGTGTGCTCCTACCTGACACCAGACGTGTCCAAAAATCCACTGGTCTTTGACCTCAAACACGGCAGAAAACGGGAGCACGAGCACACCTAGAAGTAGGTCAGCACACGCCAGGTTGACGATGAAGACGTTGGTCACAGTCCGCAGCTTTCTGGAGGTGGCCACCGCGGCCACCACCAGCGCGTTGCCCACCAGCACCAGCAGCACCACCGCACACAGCAGCGCCGAGGACACGAGGTCCGCTAGCAGCAAGCTCTCCATGCCGGCGTCATTCAGGCGGAGCCGGAGTCCCGTCATGAAGAGTCACGTGATGGACGGCCTATGGACAGGCGCGGGGTGGGATGGAGGCAGCAAACGCTCCCAGCATGCTCCAGACATTGCTTGCCATGACCAGAGTTCTCACCACTTGTTGAACTATCCGAAAGACGATCGAGCCGGCAGAGGCGCTGATGTTTGGTAAAACATGTTGAAGATGTGTTTTAGCACACATTTTAGATAGTTTATAGACATTTTTAAGGTGTGTTATAGCACATGCTTAGGTGTGTGGTAGCACATATTTGGATGTGTTTAGCACACATGTTGTACATGTGTAGTAGCACATATTTTGGATGTGTTTAGCACACATGCTGTAGATGTGTAGTAGCACATATTTTGGTGTGTTTAGCACACATACTGTAGATGTATAGTAGCACATATTTTGGTGTGTTTAGCACACATACTGTAGATGTGCAGTATCCCATCATACAGTCAGACCTAGACCTGCTGGTGCCTGTTTAGTCCGAGTCTGCCATGTAAATCCTGCGACAACATTGTCAACTAGGTCGACTAATTTTAGATCAAACTGTTGCCTTAGTTATTTCTTCATTGGTTGTGGACGAACGTTCCATACTGACCAGTCCCAATGTGACCAGTTCCATACTGACCAGTTCCATACTGACCAGTAACGTCTGCTAACGATCTGGCAGAAAACGTCCCCCGGTCTGAATCCGTTCCACTCTCCTTGGCCGTTTTTGCACTCAGCCAATCAGATTAAGAGCTTTCTTGGTTCCAAAGTTCAAAAACCCAAATGAACACATCCCTCCAATTAGCAGCGAATTTAATGATTTTTTTAGTGGCACATGAAAATAAACAACACATTTCCTATTTTTTGCATGATTTATGATGTTGCAAACACTGGAACAGCTTTGATAGCATAAATTATTTTTATAAAAAAAAACAGCTTAGCTATGAAGCTGTGTGTGGGCTGTAAAGTATAGCTGTGTAGCCGTGAAGCCGTGGCTGTCACAGCTTAAATGTACAGCTGTGTCCATGAACTAGGACATGAACCAGTACATGAACAAGTACATGAACTAGTCAAAACCAATTTTCGTGCAATCCTCGAGTGACCATTGAATGACCATCGGACGACCATCTCTCGACCAACGGGTGAGTGGACCAAACACGACTACCGTAATGACGGGCGACGTGACAGAAATATTTGCCGTCTGATCGCTGTGTCGTTTGCTGGACTGACGTTGTGTCGTCTGCTGGACTGTTGGGCGGAAGTTGTGTACTGAAACGAGAAATAGAAGATGACAAACCAAATATTGTTGGGCTCAAAAACAAATGGGCACAGGGAATTTTTTCAAAGCTGGAACTATTTCGTCGGGGGAGGGATTCCGGAAGGGGGGGGGGTGATATAGGTACAAAGCAATGTCATTGGGTAGGAAAAGCCATAAATAAATAACTAGAAATACTATACGCAACACAAAAAAAGTTGAGCTACATTTTATACAAATACAGACAGACGTTCTTATAGAAGAATGCTCACAATATAGAGGTCGTCCATAAATGAAGTCACACTCGTAGGGGGGGGGGTCCGTAATTTTGTGACGGTGTGTGATGAGGGGGAGAGGGGGGGGTTCAGATGGTGCGACGTCACACTTTTACATTATAAAAAAGCAATGTTAGAAAACGAATTTTAGACGTTATTTCGCTTTTTAGAAAACTGTTTTAATAAGTTATAATAGGAATTGATTAAAATACTCTATTTTGACAGAGTTCAGACAAGACATTTGGAAAAATATCGATGTTTTAAAAAAAATTCAACTGCAATTTTGAGGGGGGGGGGGGTGGTTGTATGCTGAGGTGTGTCGTCATTTTAAGGGGGGGGGGGGTCTGGCTTGTGTGATAATGTGTGATGGAGGGGAGGGGGAGGTAAAAATCGTCCAAAAAAGCGTGACGTCATTTATGGATGACCCCTTACAAATTAAAGACGAAATCATGAACGATAGTAAAGACGAATAACATTAAATCACATTAAAAAAAAAAAACTTCTGCAGAACTATTTGACAAAGAAAAAGACAGTAAAAATACTTGAGAATCAGGTTCACCAACAATGTTTTGACGACATAGGTCAAGGTCAGTTTTATATTTTTTAAAAAGAAAGCTTTGTCTTTAATTTATTGATATTGGACTAATGAGCTAATCACGTGCCGGAAGTTGTCTTGTAATGCTAGTTATTGTTGCAGTGATCTCCCTTTTCATGTGTACCGCAGGGGAGATAATGTTGCCGTTGTGTGCTGGGTTGTCTAACCTGTCCATGGGCTGGGTAAATCGTTCGTCGTTGGTTTCTTTAACCTGGGTGGGTTATTGTTATATTCAACACAAGGGTTAGGGCTATATTTTGTACGAGGGGTTGGGTTATATTCAACAAGAGGGGTTAGTGTTCAATGCTGTCAAAAAGGCCATTCGAGCTACGTCCTTCAGTTAGCTTGAGATGAAACAGGCTCTTCTGCCGTGCGACCAGAGACCAGATATTTTGTTGTCAGTCCTAGACCGCAAGTTCTATGGGCCATGGGGCAGCCTTTCTTTTGGGCCGTGGGGCCAACTTTCTTTTGGGCCGTGGGGCGACCTTTAATTAGGTCAATGGGCCCACCTTTCTGTAAGGCCATGGGGCCGCCTTTCTTTTGGGCCGTGGGGCGACCTTTAATTAGGTCAATGGGCCCACCTTTCTGTAAGGCCGTGGGGCCGCCTTTCTTTTGGGCCGTGGGGCGACCTTTAATTAGGTCAATGGGCCCACCTTTCTGTAAGGCCATGGGGCCGCCTTTCTTTTGGGCCGTGGGGCGACCTTTAATTAGGTCAATGGGCCCACCTTTCTGTAAGGCCATGGGGCCGCCTTTCTTTTGGGCCGTGGGGCGACCTTTAATTAGGTCAATGGGCCCACCTTTCTGTAAGGCCATGGGGCCGGACTTCCGTAAGGCCTCTCGTTCTACCATCCACCTACTACCATCTGTATTTAGACGTACCGAACTACCATCCACCTACTACCATCTGTATTTAGACGTACCGAACTACCATCCACCTAATACCATCTGTGTTTAGACGTACCGAACTACCATCTCTACTGGAACCATCACACGTGTAAACACCCTGACTTACCACCCTCGAGTAAACACCCTGGCTTACCACCATCGTGTAAACACCCTGCCTTAATACCATCATGTAAACACATCTGATGTAAAACAAATTCGTTACACAAAAGGAATCTACCGCTTAGAAAAGCGTCGGACATGCATTGATCAAAGCGGCAATGGTTGTTGTTCCTGAAATAGATCCATTCACCCAGAGACTTGTATGAACATGGGGTGGGGAGATGGCCCCTGTGTGAGCATGGGGTGGGGGAGGCCCCTGTTGGACAATTCTATCTTTAGGGCCGCCGGAGCCAGGAGTGCTAGCAATAACAATTTATCATCGTGGGCTGCGGCTCTTGTTATCCATGGCTCCGCCAGTACAGGGCCGCTGGGCGGTGACCCGTCCTCTCATTCATGGCCCATTCAAGCTCACATGCCCCAAATAAAGACAGCCCCGTTCTCAAATGGTTCGATTTATTTGAAACTGGTTGTGGTTACACGACCAAATCACTGTACTCGATGTCAGCCTGACAGACTGTAAGAGTACAACAGACATCAAGCTTGTAGATACATAACATCAAGTTTTTAGATATATAACATCAACGTTGTAGATATATAGCATCAAGCTTGTAGATATATAGCATCAAGTTTTTAGATATATAGCATCAAGCTTGTAGATACATAACATCAAGTTTTTAGATATATAGCATCAAGCTTGTAGATACATAACATCAAGTTTTTAGATATATAGCATCAAGCTTGTAGATACATAACATCAAGTTTTTAGATATATAGCATCAAGCTTGTAGATACATAACATCAAGTTTTTATATATATAAAGCATCAAGCTTGTAAATACATAGCATCAAGCTTGTAGATACACAACATCAAGTTTGTAGATATATCACATCAATTTATCATAACCATCAGCTTTGTTATATAACATGGTAACAAAGCACCAAATTTCCAAGTTATAACATCACTATGGTTACACATAGATCTGAGTCAAACAGCGCCCGTTTTCATATTAAGTGAAATCATAATACAAATGTTTAACAGAACAAGGCATAAAAAAAAAACTTTTTAATAATAAAAAAATAATAGCCTTGAAATTAGAAAAACAAATGTAAAATTTATTTTCTTTGATACAAAAGTTGGTAGCTGAGATGCGCTAAAAGATTTCGTAATGTTAAATTAAATTATTTCAATTTCATATGTTTAGTAGGCCATGAAATGAACTTGTAGACGGCCATACGTTTGTGGGCCACACTAGAGACTAATGATGGGCCATACAACTTGATCTCATACCACATAGATTTAAATAAAGTGCGCAATGCGATACCATTTCAGCCCCAGCTCGCGCATGAGTTTATTTTTAGCCACTTATCTTCTATTCTTCATGCCAATGACCGGTCCGTGCGGCCGTAAAAATCTTCCTCCCAGAATTCCGGTCTTCGCTGCCGGCAATAAATCACCCCCTCAACATGCACATTTCAGCGTCCTCCTTCCTTCCTAGCTCGGCCCACCGGCCCTCCCCTGCTGAGGGCCACATTGTGAGCATATGAGCCGCCCACCCACGGCCCACCAGCCCTCCCCTGCTGAGGGCCACATCCTGAGCATATGAGCCGCCCACCCACGGCCCTCCCCTGCTGAGGGCCACATCGTGAGGATATGAGCCGCCCACCCACGGCCCACCGGCCATCCCCTGCTGAGGGCCACATCCTGAGCATATGAGCCGCCCACCCACGGCCCTCCCCTGCTGAGGGCCACATTGTGAGCATATGAGCCGCCCACCCACGGCCAAACGCTGGACATCCAGTTGTCGATCTTATTGGGTGACGAGGACAAAAATTGTCCTGCTTACATGTGGACATTACACCGGATTTATCCGGGCTGTCCGGCAGATATCCG